TACCCCCTGGACTGACCGGGGACCGGGGCTGAGGAGCCTTCCCCCAGGGTACCCCCTGGACTGACCGGGGACCGGGGCTGAGGAGCCCGCCCCTTCCTCCATAGTGACCCCTGGGGACCGGGCTGGGCACTGCTCTCCTGAGCATCCCCAGGGATCGGCGCTGAGGAGCCAGGACCCCCAGGCACACCCACCCACAACCTCTAGAGCAATGGCTCTCAAACTTTTTTTTACTGGGGACCCCTTCCACCCAGCAAGCCTCTGAGTGCGACCCCCCTTATGAATTGAAAACACTTTTTATATATTTAACACCATTATAAATGCTGGAGGCAAAACAGGGTTTGGGGTGGAGGTTCACAGCTCGCAACCCTCCATGTAATAACCTCGTGACCCCCTGAGGGGTCCTGACCCCCAGTTTGAGAACCCCTGCTCTAGAGAACTGTCCCTGTCCCCAAGAACATCCCTAGGGACTAGAGCTGAGGAATTGGCCCCCCAGTGTACGCCCTCCCCTGGAGAAAGGGCTAGGGAGAACTCTCCATAGAATTTTCCAGCACCCCATAGGGTATGCTCCCAGCTGGCCGGGGAATGCTTTCTAGAGCCCACATAGGGACTAGACCTGAGTGCCCCACAGGATATGCCTAGAGCACCCTAGGAGCAGGGTTGCAGAGAGGTTTCCAGAGCATCTTCCAGCCCAACAGGAACCAGAGCTGTGCATTTCCTGCCCTTGAGGGTTCCACCACTCATCTATGCAGGGGACATCTTCCCCACTAAACTCAGGTGCAGCTCGGGCTCCCAAATCCTCAGGATCAGAGACCTGCATCTTTAGATGTTGTATATCAGGGAATGGGAGAGGTACCTCTAGGTGTGGTACCTGGGGAAATCTGCCTATCAATAAGGGCCAGACAGTGATATTTCCTTATGTACTAGAAATGTTGTGAGAGTTCATAGCCATGAGACACTGGGAGATTTTCAGCTATATGATAGTATTCAAGCCTTATTTGTGTGTGAATTGCTGCCTTCTGACCAGCTAGTTTGTCTAATGCCCTCTGCAGTTCAGAAATACTGTTGATTCTGAGCAGGGTGACAGAATGACATTGATAGAAATTGAAGTCCCCTTTATCCACTGGAAAAATATAGCATGGGCAATAGCAGGGCAAGCTTCCTCCACTCTGCTCTTCCAGTGTATCTCAAATCTGAACGTACACAGGTGTCATTCAGTCCTAGGCCCCTTTTCTCAGACTGCCAATGAGGGAGCCAGGTAGTCCCAACTGTGGCACTAGTTTTTGTGATGGGGGACACCTATCCATGAGAGAGCTGATGGATACCCACCAAACTCACTTTGCACAGGTCACCAAACAGCCTTCAGGTACCTATGGGTACATCTATACAGCAAAAAAAGACCTGGAGTAATGAGTCTCATAGCCTGGGTCCGCTGACTCAGATTCGCCTGTGGGGCTAAAAATAGCAGGCGTAGCATGTTGGGGCTGGAGCCCAGGCCGTGAAATCCAGTGAGCAGATAGGTCTCGGAGTGTGGGCTCCAGCCCGAGCCCAAATGTCTACATTTCTATTTTTAGCCCTGCAGCATAAGCCCTGTGAGCCTGAGTCAGGTGACACAGGCTCTGAGGTTTCGTGCCTCAGGGTTTGTTTTGTTTTGTTTGTTTTTGCTATGTAGAGATGTACCCCACGACTCTTGATCATTGACAACATGGCCGCAGTTTGTGACAATATCTATCCCTTAACCCTTTCATCCTCTCATTAAACTACGCTTATTTGCTGTGGATGTGCTCTTGTGCAGCGCTCCGAGCACAGCACGTATGTATTTGGAGTAATCTCTTGTTTTCACTACTTCTTTCATAGTTTTGATGATCTGAGAAGATGTAGTTTTGACCCTTGTGTTATAACAGGGGTTCTCAAACTGGGGGTTGGGACCCCTCAGGGGGTCGCGAGGTTATTACGTGGGGGGTCATGAACTGTCAGCCTCCACCCCAAACCCCGTTTTGCCTTCAGCATTTATAATGGTGCTAAATACATTAAAAACACTTTTTTATATATAAAGGGGGTTGCACTCAGAGGCTTGCTATGTGAAAGGGGTCACCAGTACAAAAGTCTGAGAACCCCTATGTTATAAAGAGCGTACTCTGACGTGTGTGAAGACAAATGAAGATTCTTAATGATCTCTTCATCCTAATGTCTTGTTGGAGCTGCCAGGTTAGCCGTGTCGGGGACATACTCTATGAAATGTTCAGTCCACACTCGCTAATAAAACACATTTGAAATTGTGTGATATCATCTCTGGATTCTGGATGTGCAAATTAATTTTTTTGCTAATGCTCTGTGAACTTGCCATTCTGTGATGCACTTCCTAGATTTTGGATCTTCTTTACATGCAGTTCAAAGATGGATGTGGGACTTGTGGGGTTTAATTCAAAACATTTATGCAAAAACGTATCTGCACATCTCAATGTGTGATTTAGGATATAGAGACTTCAATTGCTTTTACCACTTGGCCTGCACAACTGTTGGCCAGGCTGAACTGCTTCTTCTGTGTTACAGTTGCTAATAGTGAAACTGTTGTATAGGTTGATACTATTTAGCAATTCTCTTGTTCATTCTCACAGCTCTTTGTTACAGCTTTATCTAGTCTGAAGAAAGGGAGAACTGTGGGTGTAGGAATAGTGTCCTGTGTAAAAACACACACAACCTGAAAGCGTAGAATCTTATTCATATTAGAGTCAACTGCATGAAGAAAGGGAAATGTACTGAACGGTATCCTAAAGTAATTCTTTGAGGTAGCACTCAGTTAGGATTTAAAAAAATCACACACTACACTGTTACCATGTGAGGCTTTCTCACTGAAGGATGTGGGGAGTTGTTTGTCCAATCCCATTTACTCTATAAAACATGAAGCTTAGTCATTTCTCTTGATGCTTGCTTCATGTACAGTAAACCTTAGTTAAGTTTGCATGAAAATAAAATGGAATATTATATAACACTAGAAAATGTACTGCAGGGAGCAGCTTTGAATTTGCAGGGAAATGCACAACATGATCTAGGGCTTTTCCACCTTTGAAGTCTGACATCCAGATCTGTTGATGCTTCAGGCTTGCGATGGTTCAGCAAAGTACTCTGAGAATTAAATTTTCTTTTATTTCAGTGCCTGTAAAGCTAGAAAAATGGTGATTGTAGGCTAACCCAGGATAGTTTCTTCAGACAAGTGAAATGCAATTGCTTACTGCTGTCCTGCTCTTGAATATTTTGAGTGCTTTGTCCATCACTGCATCTGACCAAAGCTAAAGATAAAAAGTGGTTAGCTCTGTCACAGTTTCCTTGTAAAACTCACTTTAGTTAAACTCCTCCTAGTTCCAAGCAAATAATTGCACCCTATGTTGCATCTTGATGATGGGGGACCTGCATATGCCTTAAAAAACATTGGAGTCTCTCTCTTCTCATTAGGGATTCTGATTATTCACAAATAATAGACTTGAAAATGTTCGTTCTTCTCGTCTGGTGCATGAGTTTCCCTGATTGTTTCTCATTGTACAGCCAAGTGCAGGTCAGATTTTATGCATAGGTGACACAGAAGGGGGGTGTTTGGCATTGTTTCCCAAAGGGCTTTTGCACAGGGAGACAACAGAGGGGCACTAACCAGGTCGCTTTGGTTCTTTCAGTAAATAGTTTGATAGAAGACTGATTCGTGGTAGTTAATTTCTCTGTGCAACAAGGGCAAAACCTTTTATTTATGAAAAGGGCTGTAGAAGGTAACTGACTAGGGAACGAGTCAGTTTCCTTTTGTAGACTTTATATGTAAAGTGCTATGGGTGTTGAGCCTACATAAGTAATCTAGGACATCAAAGAAGGGGGGTGGGTGAAGGAGAGAAGCAGAAAAAGGAAAAATATAGAAGAAAATAGAACAAAACAGTAACAGAAAAAGCAACTGTTTTCCCTTCTGACTCTCCCCCCCCTTCTCCCTCCATCCTGCCCTCAAAAAAAAAAAAAAAAAAAAAAAAAAAAGGGGGGGGGGGGGGGGGACGACAAGCATTCCAGAATTCCTTTGCTCTGCCTTCTGAGGCTCCTCTTCTGAAGCATCATGCCATCCAATGCAAAGGACCTGGGGGCACAGTTCCCATCTTAGAGTGCCAGGGCTGGCCCTGGTCAAGTGTCCACACTCAGTAGCAAACAATGACAGGAAACTGTGTGATGGAATGTTCCCTGTTGCAGGGGTCAGGATGGAATCCCTCCTCCTCTTCCCGTGTACAGCACTGAATAACTGGCCCAGGGATATTGGTTTTGGGAAGAAGTGCAGAAGATTATAATTTTCCTTTGAAGCATCAGGTATTAGCTGCTGGCAGAGACAGGGTACCACACTTGATCTAGTACAGGAGCTTCCATGTTAACACTTCTTTCATCATCACCATAACTTCTGGGTTATGTTTCCTGGCTTTGTGGTTCATCTACATCTGAGAGCTTTTCTATATCTTTAATGAATGTTTTCATACCTCTACCCCACTATAGGTCAGGTT